TAATAAAGTGTTATGTACTGGAACTATTTCCACTCGACACAAACTAGGTCATTTCGGGACGAACATTTGTTTCAATTTTATTTCCATAATTTGCTTGCGCGTAGGGGTCTTTAGCAGTTGGAGGAAACCGGAAGACCCGGAAAAAACTTACGGGGTTGGACAGGCGACCCTACTCCTTGTCACGCACAACTGGGGATTCGAAATCACGCCAGTTGACTCAATGACAGACTTTATGATACAGCGCGCACGTGCTAACCATTCAGCCATCCACCCCCCCTCACCCACCCGAACATCTATAGTAACGAAGACATTGCTAAGTTACATGTATCATGTATGTATATAATCACATATAAATTTTCGCTTCTTTGTTTTGTGATTTAATAATAAATAACATATTGTCCGTATTTTATTTTTAAAATGAGTAAGTCAAGCCTTCTAATATAATTTAAAGTAGCTAAGTCTCTAACTCAATATCATCCAAAATCTTCGACATTGAAAACACGATTTATTTGTCGGTTTAAATCAACATGTTGTGATCTTCCTAGGAAAAGATGGCCTTCTGATATCCAATATTTAAGACAAAATAAACATTTTACAATTGGTACACGAATCCTGTACCATAATGCGTTTCAGCGCTATTTGTAATATTAAGGGACTCGAAAAACAAGGCTAGGCATATTCCACAAGTCATGTCAAACGGTGACGCTATATTCTTATCTGGAGAGCATGCCCAATAAATACTATCGGCGTAGACTGGAATAACCAGAAACTAGAGATTGAAATTCAATTGAGAAAACTGGTGTATGTCGCCGAACCTAACTGATTAGAAATTACAGTAAAAAGAGAAGCGATTGAATGTAAATCAATTTATATACATCCATATTACATTATTGTATGCCTTGCGACCCATTTGTGTCAATTTCTAGGTCCCAAATATTAGCAACTTAGGTCAGAGTGGCCCTTTGGTTTGGTCCGAGTAGCAATGATAAATATTGGTCTGAGTGGTCTTACAATATAAATTAATTGGTCCGAGTGGTCTTTTGGTTTGGTCCGAGTAGTCTTTTGGGTTGGTCCGACTTGTCTTTCTATTTGGCCCGAGTTGTCTTTTGTCCAAGTGGTCTGGATAGCTCTCATTTTACCGCACAATACTGGATCTTCAATGAGTTACTTTCTATTTTTCACTCGGCAACCGGCTGCAGATTTCACTCGGCCAACTTCGGTTACTCCTCTACACCAAACCATGTTTCCAAACAGAATTATCTTTCCGTGACCCGCAAATTATATTTTTAACTGGTTTGCTTTTGGCGCAATATTCTGATGTTTAGGCTAACACTGTTTTTAACGGCGTCAGCTTCTTATATTTATTGGGCTACAAACACTAAACAGTTGTCTTTTATTTTCTGAGGAGATTTTCTGACCTGGGTAATGCAAATGAAGTTTGTTACTTTATAGTAGGCTAGTATTTGACTAAAACTGCATAACTCAAATCTTAATCATAGATGTACCGATTGTAAATAATTTTTTTTGTTGACGAAGTCTTTTCTAACTTTTGGGGTAAGACTACTAACTAAGTAGCCTACATTGAAATTAGTGCTAGTACAGTAAAAGTGGTCTTGGCGTCGGGTAATCGATATGAAAACAAGTCTACATTATAATTAGGCCTAGATATCTACCTAGTCCGACTTCATTTCAAGCATTTTATTTATACCCCTTAAGTTGTAGTAGTGACAGTTTAACTACAAGTAAGTACAACAGCAACCAACAGGGGGTCACAGTATCGTGACTCATGGACTTGTCAGGAGTATAACTTGAGCCTGAGAATGATCAATGAGATACACACAAATGGATAAGTCTGATAATCAGTTAATAAATCAGATGTAACTTGTAAATAAAGGCACTGTATGACAGTGTATGTAGGCCTACATATGATATATATTCTAAATACTAATAAATAGGCCTAGTAGTATTGTTTTATTAATATTACCTATTTATTAATTAATAGGGTTTCAGGTCAAACTCAAAGTTTCAAATGATCAAAACGCTCTATATACCAGTCAATGCGTGGGATGGCACCAAAATAAGTGCTTTTCTGTCATATTTGAGTGACGTCATGAGTCATAAGCGGTATTTTCCCTTCAGAATCGCTATACTGGCTAGGCTCTATATAGTACCAATTTTAAAACTGAATGAAATCCGCACGTTATTGTCAGCTAAGATTTATTAAAATCATAATTATATATTATAGATCTAATTTCAAATATTATACTTAACTAATAGAATCAATTAAGCTTTTACTATCTAATATGGTCGAAGCTCAGGTCCTAAAAACGCCTTTAATTTATGGTTTCTGTTATTCTTAAATAGATATTGTTAGGGACCTCATGCTGGAGGTTCGGTCGCATGATCATTTAATGTTCGAATTCTATACAAAATTGTAAAGTCTGAAGTTAGTATCAATGTAATTTGCTTATCTGGTCAACAAAGGTCCATTTACATTGATTTTGATGGAAAATTAGATCTGAATTACATATTACATATTTAAAGTTTATATTTCTTGATTATAAAGGTAGAATTTGAAATTATTTTCTGTGTTTTAAATGGGTTGTTTTTTTTTTTTGATGGCTTTGACCATTAAATTGAAAAAAATCAATGAAATGGACCTTTGTTGTGGTGTGGATAGGCTTGGGTGTAGGGGTGCCGGGAGCCCAAGTAGTGTCGTTAAAAAAGTATTAACATTAGTGTTACTTTACTCTTATTTTATGAAAGTTTTTTTCGCAAGTTGATTTCCTTTATTTTTTTAATGTAGAATGGTAATGAACTGCTTTTTTCCTTTTCTTTGCTTTATTTGTTCCGTTTGAATTTGATTTATCTGTTTAGTTTTTGATTGTTTAATTATTGTTTTTGTTAATTAAGTTGATTCTTTTAAACTTTGTTTTTATTTTTATACGTCCGTCGTCCACAATTTCTTGTGAACGCTCTAGAGACTAAAGTTAATATCTGATATTTACTACCAGAGTTATAGCCCTTGATCACTTTGATAAATCTTGTGAACGCTCTAGAGGCTAAAGTTAATATCCAATGGACTCCAAATTGTTACACAGTGTGTAAGGTCATGAGACGAAGAAGCCTAATGATTTTCAGCGATATCCGATAATTACTACCAGAGTTATGGCCCTTGATCACTTTGAAAAATCTTGTGAACACTCTAGAGGCTAAAGTTAAAATCCAATTGACTTTAAATTTATACACAGTGTTTAAGGTCATGAGACAAGACACCTATTGATTTTCAGCGAGATCTGATGATTACTGCAAGAGTTATGGCATTGATATGTGAGAGACATCAGTTTAAAGTCGATTCTGGTTATTATAATCTAATGTATGAACTTTGTGTTGATTTTACCAGCCTGTAATTGTGGTATCATAATTAATTGTGATTTTAACATTTTTTTTAGTTAACTATATTAAATGAATTCCAAATGTACGTGTTGGCGAGGGGGTACATTAATAATTATATGTTTTTGTAGTACATGTTCCTTGTTTTATAATAAAACTACGCCCTTTCATTTTTCAGAAGAAAAGTATAGAAAATATTTCCAATTATCTATCTTGAGGTAAATCAGTTTATTATTTTCATTAACAGTTCTTATTTTTGTAAATTTTTATGTAAATCAACTACTTGTCATTGGAGTGCATCTCAAAATTCACTTTCCTTATCTACATAAAGTTTATGTAATAAGTTATAGTGTGTAAATTTGAAGTAAGTTCATATGTTTTTTTATTAATTATTTACAGATCACAGAGATTGAATGCTGCAGGTCTTGTGTTTAGTGTATAGACTAATTGGTGGATGTTATTAACATTAACCTTTTAGCAAAGGTTAGCTTGATGATGTTACTGCAGTGTAGTGGAAGATGTTAACCTAACTTTGGTAGACAACAAGCCTAACCCTGAAGTCAACGATGTACAATATGTCAGTGTCACGGTTCCACTACCAAACGTAACGCGAATATACATGTATTTACTTTGATTGAAATGAGGTCAACTTAAAAATTTGTGTAGATGTGTTATTTGTTGTAACAGTTATATCCATAAAAGTTATATCCATAAAATGTAAATTGTATTTTCTCTATATTAGTATAACAGATTTAACGAAATAAGATTATTTCACTCATGACTCGTAGTCACCCACCATCGTAGAAGTGTCAACATATCGAGAACACGCATTCATGAACCATGATTAGTTGGGACAAATTAATAATGAGGAATACTGTTTTCAAAGGCCTTAAGACAGGAAAGTGGTTATTGGTCACAACATTCATGTGTCACTGCAGGGGAGGGGGTGGAGTCAAATGATAATGCATTCGTGTTGGATAATAAGGTCTGTCATTTAGTGAAGAGGCTTAGCTTCGTTTCCAAGAGTAGGGTCGACTGCATTCCCACTGTTAAGATTTCGAGAAACAGGGCCCAGATTCTCACATCAGATACTTGAACCACAGAAAAGGTTACCTTTCAGAAAATTGGCTCTGTAGCCTAAAACTGAATCACCTATATCTCGGTTCAGAGCAAAGCAATCTGACTGAAATTTCAGCATTTTCTGTTTCTATTATTTATTGTTGAACTATTATAGCGAGAACTGTCAGCTCTTATCTAATCTTACCCAATGGCGCCAATGCCCCTTTAAAATGCCCCTTATAAATCTAGTTTAAAATCCAAATATTTGTCTAAACTTTAGACAGACCTTATGATCTACTAGTATTCTCCAGTTGGTCAATTTCACTGCAAGTCAGTCAAAACGGCCAAACATGACTGGCGAAAATAAGACAAATAAGGTTGGAAGTACCTTCAAAACAAACCATGGCACTTGAATCAATGACAGACCTTATGATCTAAAGCATACATCAGACCACTCAACCACACAACTGGTAAAGACTTTAGACAAATATTTGGATTTTAAATTAGAAACAAAACCATACTGTTGAAGATGTAATTGAGACAAGACATTAGACTAGCACTTATATTTATTAGCAAAAAAAAGCCAACAATTTGATTGGTTTTAGTGCTTAGCCAATCAAAATTGAAATTTCTACTAAAATTTGGATTTGATCTTAGTTAAAATTTCCCTACTTTTAAGTTCTGGTAAAATGTCCTTATGTGTCGGAAGTTCTGATTTGTCGACTAAACGAAAGCGACCAGACTGTCCACCGTTGGCTTTGAGAAATGCGACAATTTTGATCGGTGACATACTTTGCGTTACAATGGTGTACATCTGATTTCTAGTGGAATGATTTATAAAGCGAACTGGAACGGGGAGGTTATACAGTAAGCCGTTAATCTGGCGTGTGATATGATGAGGGAAAGCAGGTCCAAACAGTAGAGTAAGCGTCTGCTTGGGCATCTGTTCGGTTCTCTGCTTCACCAATCATGATGAGATGACCAGCTAGATAGAGGTTACAGAAAATTTTCTCCTTTTCTATTTCTGTGTTCATGCTACGACGGTACAGACAAATGGGCGTCAATTTTACATCGTTGAAAATTCCATCCAAGACAGTAATGATGGATGCAGGATGCGTGGCACTGCTAAGTTCGTTCATTTTGACAAACTGTTCACGGAGATCAAATGCCCTAGGATTTGGTGCTGCCTTTACCAAAGTGCTCTGAACCTGTGCTTCTGCTTCTGTTATGACAGACTGTTCGACACCATCTAAGATGTTGCCATGTTCAACATTCATGGTGGTCAGTCGTTCAACCACCATATTATAACACAATGACTTAGCAGTTTTTTTGGAAACTGAAACACCTGCACCTTGTAGTATGTTGTCAATAAAGTACATTCCCTTATGATAAACTTTCCCTGATTCAGCTTTACAACTCTCTACATCATATCGACAACGGACTCGACATTTAGCCACAGAGGCCGCCAACTCCATTTTGCTGACTGAATTGGTTGAAGCATATTTAGGATTGGTTAGAATATCTTGGATCTGTTTCAAAATAGATGGTGGGGGTAACTCTGCAATTGTTTCTTTCTCCATCTTAGCAACGGTCGAGTTAAAATTCTCCAGTTTCTCCTTGATAACTTTTGGGGTCATATCATTCTGGTTCAAAATTTCAGTGACAGGAAGGGTACGATAAAGTTCCACCGCCTTCTTGAAACATGACAGTTTGATTTCTTTCTTGTTGATGCCGATAGCTCTGGCTAGGAACACACCACATCAAAAAATCTGGTCTAATTCCAACTTTACAACTCATCAGAGAATTCTCAAACAACTAAAATGAAATAAAATAGGATTTAATGGGAAAGAGAGGAAAATGGGCTTTATTGTTCACTCGACACTAGGTCATTTCGGGACTAACATATAGTTCATTTTATTTCATTAGGGGTCTTTAGCAGTGGAAGGAAACCCTGAGGACATGGAGAAAACGCACGAGGTTGAACAGACGACCCTACTCCTTGTCACGTACAAGCGGGTAATGACGCATTAACGCTTCGACCACCCAAACTCGCCCAACTGGTCTTATGTAGATGGGCAAATAAAAGAATTTTATACGTAATACATGCTTGAATAAAAATAAAAATAAAGCAGAATCTGTGTTTTTAATGAGATTATTGTGAAAAATATTAAACATGCATTATGCAAGAGCTAAACCTGTCAATTTCAGGTCTTTCTTTAGGCCTGAAATCTTATCTAAATTATTAATTAGACATTAATTAACTTATCCAGACCATAATAAACTCCCGATGTCAAGGCTAGCCTTCGATGTCGACTGGATTACAATTCTATATGATGCTATCGCTCATTGATAATTAAATCACAACAATAGACAATCGAGACTATTAGTTTCGAGGCTAGGCGAAACTTTCATCCGCTTAGTTTTCGGTTCATAGTGGACCAATTTGACTGACATTTTTAGCAAATTCCCTTTACATTATGTAGTTTTTAACTATTATAGTGAGAACTGCTAACTCGTTATCTTATCTCCATCTCCCATAATGTATCTTTAATAAATAAAACCTCACCATAATTTCATTGATTACTTTTTTTTCACTTCGTAAAAACATTGAAAGTCGTCGAATTTTTTCTGCTAGCGGCAATTTTGTGGCATCGATTGGTTCTGGGTTGGGTGTTTTGTGTACAGCGGCAGCAGGCAGACCTTTGTTATCAATGGGGCGTGTCTGGCAGTCTGGTAATGTTTCCCATTTCTTCTCTGTAAATAAACCATTAAAAAATGTAGTTTGTTAAAGCTGCATTTAGTAACTGTATTGAATAAACCATGACTAATATACCGGTGTATTAAATACAAGTTTTTTCACAGTTCATTTCTGACGACGTCTTGAAAAGTGTTCTCTTGTATTTATCAAGCCACAAACAAAATAAACTTCTAAATAACTTGTATTCTGAATATTGTTTAGTGCCCAGGTTCACTTTGCTCATTTCTGTTGATCAGCGGCTGGGGAGGGGGGGGGGAATAGGTTTTACATTTAGATTCAGAACGAACATGATTCTTCTACAGCCATCCTTTTTACAGTGGTTACAACTTAAACATACAGGTTTCAAGTTTAACTGACTACCATGACTAGAGAATAGAATAACGTGATTTATCAACGAATTAACAGAATTTTAAAACAAAATTAAAAGCTTTTGAGCAGTAGTACGGTAAAAATTATGTGTGTCAAAAAGATAAGCACCACCGTTTAAAATGAGGTCTGTTTGATATTTAACCATCAACAATAAACTCAGATGGTTTTTATTTGGAACCATGTAATATCCATCACAAAATACTTCCAGCATAAGTCTTGCCACTCCAAGAAGAATAGTGTCAGGTTCCTTTGGTACCATGGTACTAATCAAACAAGAGGTGTTGAGGACGTGATCCAAGTGAGAGAGGGGGGGGGGGTTGGATGGCTGAATGGTTAGCGTGCGCGCGCTGTATCATAAAGTCTGTCATTGAGTCAACTGGCGTGGTTTCGAATCCCCGGTTGTACGTGACAAGGAGTAGGGTCGCCTGTCCAACCTCGTGGGTTTCCTCCGGGTCCTCCGGTTTCCTCCCACAGCTAAAGATCCCTACGCGCAAGCGAATTATGGAAATAAAATTGAACCATATGTTAGTCGAGTGGACGTTAAACCACATTTCTCTCTCTCTCTCCAAGTGAGAGAGGGATACACATGACGATGGTTATCACTACTCTTGTCTGTAATCCTCATCCTTTTCCTGACCAGATCATCTAATGGACTCCTATATTTTTCGAAATCCTCAATTAAAAAATATCTATTACTTAAATGACCAAATATTCCTGTCTTGTTTTACTTTAAGGTGGTCCTTAACCTTTTGTCAGTTGTATTTATTTTTATAACTTACTTGCACCACCGGCACTGTTTGCGGGAGTTCCAACACCTCCTATAGAATTCAACTCATTGTTAAAAATATAATTTGCGGGTCACGGAAAGATAACTCTGTTTGGAAACATGGTTTGGTGTAGAGGAGTAACCGAAGTTGGCCGAGTGAAATCTGCAGCCGGTTGCCGAGTGAAAAATAGAAAGTAACTCATTGAAGATCCAGTATTGTGCCATTTTACCGATGATGGCTTTACTGTATACACTGTGGAAGAGTATCTCTTCTACTTTTTGGTCTGAATGGTTTTGGTTACCAACAAATTGTACTTGGAAACAATTAGAAAATACTGATAGTGGAATATATTTACCTCAAGCAGGAGATATTATTATTGTTTTACCCTTAGCTGTGTTATTGTTGGTTGTTCGAAAACTTTTTGAAAGGTAAGTTCGTCCCCTGAAAACCATATTGAATTGATGGTCCATAGGGCATAGGCCATAGATTAAGGGGTGCCAGTTTACTCGTCCACAGTTTAGTCGTCCACAAGGTATTGTTTATGTCGTCCACAAATAATGGTTAAAGTAGCTAAGTCTCTAACTCAATAGCTCTCAAAACCTTAGTTTCGACATTGAAAACACGAATTAGTTGTCAATTTTAATCAACATTGATGTTGTGATGTTACCGTGAAAAGATGGGCATCAGATATCAAATTAAACATTTTACGATTGGTACAATTGGTACACGAATCGTGTACCATAATGCGTTTCAGCACAATTTGTAACAAGCGACTCGAAGAATGAGGTTAGACATATATATTCCACAAGTCGTGCGTCGGTGACTTCATATTCTTATCTGGAGAGCATGCGCAATAAATACTATCGGTGTAGACTAGAATAACCAGACGCCAGAGATTGCCATTCGATTGAGACTTCTGGCGTATTTCGCCGAACAGAACTGCTTTGAAATTAGAGTAAAAACGGAAACGACTGAATGTAAATCAGTTTATTTACATTCATATATCGTCGCTGCGCTTCCAAAATCTCGTATCTCGAATTTTGCTACTTTTCAGGAGACACAAAACACTTTACAGATCTAATAATAACTGGCGGACTGAATGGTTCCTTCGATATAATACATGCTAAATAAGACCACCTTCAAGGGTGTATGAGTGTGAAGCATGTACCTATATAACACCAAATTAAAAAAACGAGATACGATATTTTAAAGATTTTTTTTCTCCAAAATGAATGAGATACGATATTCGTATCTCTACTATATTAAAAAAAATGAGATACAAGTTTCTGAAAGTTGTTGGACCAATAAAAGATTATTTTAATAAAGCACAATCACAAATCTGGGAGAGTGGATGAGTTACTGAGTGGGTGGATTTTTGAACTGCTGGGCGTGATACTGGATAAATTGATCAAATACTGCGCGGTGAGTTAGTTACTGAGTAAGTGGGTGGATGGGTGGGTGAGTTACAAAGTGGGTTAGTGAGTTTCTGAGTGGGTGGGTGATTTACAAAGTGGGTTAGTGAGTTTCTGAGTGGGTGGATGAGTTACATAGCAGGATAGTGAGTTTCTGAGTAAGTGGGTGAGTTACAAAGCGGGTTAGTGAGTTTCTGCGTGGGTGGGTGAGTTACAAAGCAGGTTAGTGAGTTTATGAGTGGGTTTGTGAGTTACAAAGCGAATGGATGGGTTTCAGAGCGGATGGGTGAGTTCATGAGTGAGTTTATTGATATAGGTTGGTTATAAGTAATTTGGGATGTCGGTGGGTCAGCGAATGAGTGTGTACATGAGTGCATATTTAGGGATACAAGGTAAGTAGAGAAGTATCAAAGTGGGTATTAAGTCAAAATTTACATTTCCATTAATAAAGCACAATCACGAATCTGGGAGAGTGGATGAGTTACTGAGTGGGTGGATTTTTTAACTGCTGGGCGTGATACTGGATAAATTGATCAAATACTGCGCGGTGAGTTAGTTACTGAGTAAGTGGGTGGATGGGTGGGTGAGTTACAAAGTGGGTTAGTGAGTTTCTGAGTGGGCGGGTGGTTTACAAAGCGGGTTAGTGAGTTTCTGAGTGGGTGGATTAGTTACACAGCGGGTTAGTGAGTTTCTGAGTGGGTGGGTGAGTTACAAAGCGGGTTAGTGAGTTTCTGCGTGGGTGGGTGAGTTACAAAGCAGGTTATTGAGTTTATGAGTGGGTTTGTGAGTTACAAAACGAATGGATGAGTTTCTGAGATGATGGGTGAGTTCATGGGTGAGTTTATTGATATAGGTTGGTTATAAGTAAATTGAGATGTCGGTGGGTCAGCGAATGAGTGTGTACATGAGTGCATATTTAGGGATACAAGGCTTTAGGTAAGTAGAGAGGTATCAAAGTGGGTATTAAGTCAAAATTTACGTTTCCATTTATAGAACACAAACCTTATTGTTTCCCCAGTCTCTGTTGGTTTTTAATTCAGACAGAAAAAAACGGAGAGTATGTTGTTTAATATATTTATTATTATAATAATACATTAAAACCAACACCAACTAAAACTTGTAACACAATTCTGTTATTGTTAAACATGTAATTAAACCAAATCAGTTTTCATGTGGTAAATTATCATAAAATGTATGGTAGTCTTTGGGGATGACAACCTTAAGTTCCTGCAAGTGGCCATACTTTTTCTTCTTGATTGGTAGAGGATCTTCGTGAAGTTGAGGTACTTCATCAAGTGGTGAGGGTTCTCCCATCTTGGCTCTCCTTGGTAAGGGGGAAAACTCGTCATCATAATTTAATTTATACTCAATAACTCCATCTGGATTATATCTTATAACTCGTAAATCAGTGACTACTGGTTCTACTGTCCTTGTTCCTGGCCTTATTGAGTTATAGTATTTTAGCTTGGAGTACTCCTTGAAAAACTCGTGAGTGAGATATTCCACTTCATAGGGCTGTTTGGGTCTAGCTTCGCAGATTTTATCCACGTAGTTCTGAGGTGAATAGATTGGCTTTCGTTTTATTGCTCTTTCAATGACACTGTGAATGGAGTCACACTCCATTTGTGTGTGACCCCTTTCAAGAATCTTCTGAGTAATAACAGTATCTTTTTTTCGAGAAAGCAGTAGAAGAGCCTGAGATACAATTAGATTTCTGTTTTGATATGTGCAGCCATCTGTGTATATAATAACTTCCGTGATTGAATCAGATAATCAGACAAAGAGGAAGCGAATGAGTTGGCAGTAAGGTCTCCCTCTGACTCAAACCAGAAGTAACATTTAACTTGACGAGTGGCTACATTGAAAATAGTGTAATTATGGCACCCTAACTTAGTTTTATAGTAGAGTGCACTAGCCTCTAACTTTGGACACATGAGAATAGCCTGTAAATCCAATGTTAACATTAATAACGATTTATCTTCTAAGGCTCTTTCTTTATCTCGACCCTTTTCCTCTCTGGCAGCTTCTTTCTTCTCAATGTGCAAATTATACTCCTCTTCGCTTATGTTCTTGGTTTGTTAAGCAATACACGTATCACACTGATCTTTCTTGGGTACATATAATGACAAATTCATTTCATCAAAACCCTGAAAGAATAATTTACGGCCACAAACTGTTTTGTTATTGGATTCACAATAGTATAGGTTCTATACACCTTATATATATCAGCTCTTGTTGAAAATGTGGGTTCCAAATAAAGTTTGGTGCTTGTTGATCTACAGTAATGGGACGGTAGTTTAGGGATGTCGTTGAGAAAATCTCTGGCAGTATCACCCTTTGGCTTTAGTGTAGAACGTGCTGGTTTTGAAATTGCGTTGTTGTCTGGAAATTTGGCTGGTATTCCATACTCATTACAGTCCGCCTTCCACTGGTAAACAGTCTTTTCTCCAAGACAGAGTGTGCTCAAAAACATGGATTTGCACACTTGATATCGTTGATTATTATATTTCAAATAATATTTAAATGAACTTTGTCGTCTGCTCTCCCCCTCGGTCATTCTTTCCTTTACCTCTCCCCTTTCAACCAATCCACATACATAGACCCTTTTCTCTTCCCAATTCATATTCCAAAAACCCTTGAAAAACCCCTCTCTTGATTCTTCACTTATTTCATTACATTTCCGTCCAAGTTTCTCGCACCTGTCTGTACACTCCCTTGGTCTCAGTTTTCTTTCTTCTCTGTCAATTTGAAATTTATACTGCCCATCTACTTCAGTTAATCCTTTATACTTCTTTCCTTCCATCCTTAAACGCTTGTTAACCTTTTTCTTCCAGTAAAAACTCTTATCATCTGAAGTACGTCTCTTCTCGCCAGTTCTTACATGTATATCATCACTGTTTCCATCTTCATCCTCTTCTGTGCCAGAGTCAGGTTGCCAATCCGGATCTTTCACGGAGTCATCAAGATCCATTTCTTCTATTAGTCCACCCCTGTTTACCATTGGTTGTTTAATAATTATATCCGGCTCAATATACACATCAGTAAGATCAGTTGCAGGATTGCTCTTGTGGCTTTGTTTAATATCTTGTGTACTACATGTACAGTACTAGTACTCGTACTCGGTTTGGAGACAACTTTATCATTTGCAGAATAATCTAACTCTATGGTTGCTGTTACGTTTTCGGGTGGTGCTTCAATTATGCTGGTTATAATTGAGTCTATACCAATATCTCCTATATCAGTATATACTAATTTCACCAATATCCTCTTCGACCTCAATATCATCTAAACTAACAATGGTTTGAGCATTATCATCGGATACCAGAGGTGATGTTTTGAAAGAATTTTCAATAATGTTTGATCCAGAATTTTCATCTAAATTTGAACTTAGTAAATGGGCTGGTTTGTTGTAGTTGTTGGTTATGTTCTGTTGTTTACCATTTCTGTTTATATTACCTTCATGTGATTTATGAGCTATTGGTGGTCTTTCTAAAGACAAACCTATATTGTTGAAATTGGCATTAGCAAGTTTAAGAATCATTTCCCCCCGAGAAAATGGTAGTAAAGGCCGTTGAGACATCTCTAAAACCTTCTTTTAATTCTGAAATGTAAATATTAAATTACGTCAAAATATCGTATATCGTAAAATATTTTTCTAAATGTTTTATTCCAAAATTTCGTATCTCAAATTTGGAAGTGTTGGCGAATATAATAGACACTGTAATAGTTTAATTAAAATATAAAAGGCCTTAATGTACTACGTTGTTGTTTATTTGTCAATGTGGGAATAAAATGACTAATTTTCTAGGCAATATTAGCTGAGCTGACAAAATATCTACATTACATACCTAAAATTAACTCCAATTGCTACTAAATCACATCTAGGTAACTTAATTATATATAAAATATAAATATTATTTCTTGTTTTTGATTTATAGAGGTTAAATATCATAAAAACTTACCGTATTAAACAAAATGCAGGCTTCTATTGACGTCGTTTCAACGTGGTCTTGAGA